CCCCCGGGCCCGTCCCCGCCCTCAGCCGCCTTCATCCTGCCCGAGGCCCGCGTCCGACACCGCAGCGACCCACCAGCTCCGCTCGCTGCTGCAGCGCCTCAAACACCGCCGCTCCCGCCCAACCGGCCACCCACTGCGCCTGCGCAAACACCACTTCCGCTTCCAGGCCACGCCAGCACGCGCTCCTCTTCGCGCCCCATATAACCATAGAGAGTAGGCGGCGCTCTATAATGCTCTAGTCCCAGCCAGGAGCGATCCACATCTGCTCTATGATTCCCAACGGCTCTGGGCCGCTCCAGCCACCTTTGGATGATAGAGTTCAGCATCTACACTCTAGGCAACTGAAAACTCTGTGATACCAACTCATCCTCCCGGCCACAGTAACCGACGGCGCGAGGCAGCCTCTGACGCTGCTTGTGGCCCACGACAACCCCTCCATCCCATAATAATAGCCCTGCCCGCGGGGCTGCCTCGGGAGCCCAAGGATAGGAGCAGCGGCAGTTTTCTCCCCCTGGCCAATGAGCGGAACAGGGAACTCCCGGGGGCGTGCAGGGCAAGGCGCTCCCTGCCCCCAGCACGGCGACATGGACTAGCCCGAGAGGGGATCTGGCCGTCACATCTGGGCGGGGAGGTGGAGAATCCAATGGGATTAATCCCACCCTGGGGGAGCGGAGCCCGACCCCTGGGTTCCATTGTAGCTCTGGGAGAGGCCTGGGGGCTTGAAGCGTAGGGCAGGACTGGGGGGCGTGCAGGGCAAGGCGCTCCCTGCCCCCAGCACGGCGACATGGACTAGCCCGAGAGGGGATCTGGCCGTCACATCTGGGCGGGGAGGTGGAGAATCCAATGGGATTAATCCCACCCTGGGGGAGCGGAGCCCGACCCCTGGGTTCCATTGTAGCTCTGGGAGAGGCCTGGGGGCTTGAAGCGTAGGGCAGGACTGCAGCGAGTCTCAGCACGGACTGGCATCTTCTTATATGAGGAAACTGAGTCACGGAGCTGACAGATTTACTCGACCCCAACACATCTGTCTCCAGTTGCAAGGAAGCCATAACAGGGTTAAGGCACAAAGTGACATTGGATCAATCTCTTTTTTTTGTTTCCAGGGTCTCCTATAGGATCTTTGTTTCATTCTGTGATGTAGATGAGATTTTACCTGGGAAGTTAATGCAGCCCTAAAGAATTAACTTTCTCATGCAAATCATCAGTAGAATTGCCTGAATGTTATTCTGTTATAATGTGTCTGTTCCTCAGTTTCACCTCCCACTGTTTGCCTGTGTGGTCCCTTCTCCTCTCCCTGCATCAGTTCCTTATTGACAATCCTTACCTCCTTGTGTTAAAACACTTTCAGATTCACAGCTAAAAAATTTTCAGTGGAATTCTTACTGTGGGAGACAATGTGTGGAGTTTGGCCTGAAAATTTCCAGCAGAATAGAGGAATCTTGAAGCTACCTCATTCCCTGGGTAAGGGAGTCTCAGTCCATTTCCACAAGCCATAAAATTGTCTTTGTTCCTAGAGTATCCAGTGCCAGTGAATGCCTCCAAGAGTGAATTCAGCGCTGGATCCTCAGCTGTCAGAGACGGACAGCCTCTCTTTATCCTCCACACAGGTACTGGTACTCCTGGCTTCCTCTGAGAGAAATCTATGCCCCCATTTTAAGTGGAGTAGATAAGACAAATGGGGAATCGCTAATAAACCTGATAACAAGGGGTTGTTCTTGATGACTAGGAAGTATGGTCTAATGAGCAAGGCACTGGCCTGGGATCCAGAGATCCTTGGGTTCTATTCTGCCTCATTTTCTCCTTCAGCCATTTGTTTGTTTAGACAGTGAGCTTCTTAGGGCATGGACTGTCTTAGTGTGTGTCCATGCAACGCCTGACACAGTGAGACCCTGATCTCAGTAAGGGGGCTGACAGGTACTCTGTGTGCACATGGTATTGGGTACTGTACAGACTGATGCCATCATGCCAGGGGGTACACAGACTCTTGGAGGTAGTCCCTGCCCCACACAGCTTGTACTCCATCTAGTGCCACTCACTCCATTTTCCCATACATACCACTTGGCTACATCTAGACTGGCCCCTTCTTCGGAAGAGGCATGCTAATTTCAAACTTTGGAATAGGGAAATCTGCGGGGGATTTAAATAAACATGGCCACCGCTTTTTTTTCCGGGTTGGGGAAAAGCTGGAAAAGAGCGTCCAGACTGGCGCAATCCTCCGGAATAAAGCCCTATTCCGGAGGATCTCTTATTCCTACTTCCAAAGTTCGAAATTAGCATGCCTCTTCCGAAGAAGGGGCCAGTCTAGATGTAGCCAAGTGGTATGTATGGGAAAATGGAGTGAGTGGCAAAAGGACTGGACCAAAGACAGCAGCAGAGCATGCAACAGAACCCAGCTATCCTGGCTCCTACTCCAGGACCCTGCTCACTGGGGGGACTTTTTGCCTTTAGAAGCTTATTTGATCTTGGGGAGATGCAACAAGGCTCTTCTCCCTCTGTTCCTTCTCTTCGGCTAGCCTTCCAGAGCAAGTGTGCCTTCCAGCTATTCACCACTTCACCTGCCCTGTGAGGATCCTGTTCCTGAGGGCTAACTCACCAGGATGTCCCAAGCAACCAAACGCAAGCATGTGGTGAAAGAAGTGTTGGAGGAGTATGTGGTTCCATCTCCTCAACAGCAGATTGTCCGGGTGAGGAAGGAAGTAGCTCTCTTTGCTGGGCTCCACTGGGACTTTTCACTTTCCTCTGCAGCATGAGGTTTGGGTTGCTGGGAAGCATCTGGATATGTCTCACCTAAGCTATTCTTGCCATCCCACCCCTCACGCTCTGAGCTTCAGCAGAAGGCAAGAAAATCCCTGAATACATCTGTTTAGTTGCGTATTAGGGTACATCTTGACTGCAGGGGTTTTCCAGGATACCCTGGAAAAACTCTGCCGTGTCCAGGGAACGCAGTTGCTCTTCCACTTTTTTTGCAGAAGACCAAATGCACTCTTTTGGGGAGTCCTGTATATCTCGTTCTAGAAGGAATAAGGTCTCCTCTGAAAGAGGCCGCTTTTCCGCCATTTGGCCCCTTCTTGACTGGGCCAGATGGTGGAAAAGCCTCTTCTGGAAAACCAATTGGAAAAAGCGACACAAATTGCGGAGTACAATTTGTGTAGCTTTTTCCTGGAAAAAAAAAAGCTATGGTGTAGACCTAGCCTTAGGGAGGAAAACCTGTTCATGCTCCTTGCAGATGAGTGCACTCCAAGCTCATGCATCAGGAGTTCCCCATTGGCTTGCTGCAGAGCTGCTAGTGGCATGAGCAAGGCAGAACAGGTGGAGTGTGAGCCATCTAAAAGCCATACATGGGTAGTAGATTTCAAAGCCAGAAGGTGATCAGCCTGATCATCGAATCTGACCTCCCATGTAAGTCAGATTGTGGAATACTCCTCCCTGCCAATCCTGCATCCAGCCCATCTCTGGTGGTTGAGCTAGAGTGTCACTTTGAGGCAGGCTCTGATCTGTAGGTGCTAAGTGCTGGAGAATCCATTTCTCCAGGAAGCAGTTTCTGTGGTTAATCCCCCTTCCTATCAATTTGTTCCTCCCTCCAGGTCCTAGGGACCCCAGGAAACAACCTCCATGAGGTAGAAACGGCCGAAGGAACCAGATTCTTAGTGAGCATGCCCACAAAATTCCGCAAGAACATCTGGATCAAACGAGGTGAGTACAGTGCAACTAGGTTCATGGCACCCCTAGAGGGGAAAGGCCCCATATGCCCCCTCCCCTGAACACCATTTAGAGTAGGAGTACTACTATCCACCAGGGGTGGATGAGTGCGCCGCGGGCAGCACAATTTCACGGGGGCCCCCCCTTTGACATGGCGCATGCGCGGAGCCCAAGGCAGCCGCCCCACTTGCTCTGCCCTAAATCCACCGCTGCTATCCATGAGTTCCCCCTACCCCGGGGCTAGCTGAGATCTAGCACCCTCCTAGAGGGAAGAGACCACATTCTCCATCTCCTAAAAATCAGCCAACCCTCCTTCCCACCGACACACTGTGTCTCTATCATTGCAGGGGACTTTCTGCTGGTGGACCCTATTGAAGAGGGTGAGAAAGTGAAGGCTGAGATCAACTTTGTGTTATACAAGGACCACATGCGATACCTAAAGAAAGAAGGGCTCTGGTAAGAGTCGGACATGGGGGAGGATGCTGAACTACAAGCTCCTAAAGTCCCTGCTCTTGCCTGCCACCAAGGTGCTGGAGAAAGTGTTAGTGAGGATTGGCATTGGCTTGAGTGTCCTTCCTGAAGCTGAGATTTCCATCACACATGAGCTGTAGGAATAGATGCAAAGCAGTCAGCTTGGGGAGGAGGGTAGCTCCATGGTGCAAATGGGGCAGTAAATCTCTAGCAGGGGAACCTGTGCTTTGATGCTGTTGGTATTCAGTTGGGGGCTGGTATGACTGTTGCTGGAACCATGGGGCCCCAATTCAAGGAACATTTTGATAAATTAGAGAGGTCAGAGAAGAGCCACAAGAAAAAGAGGACCGGTGACAGAACTCAACCTTAGCTTAGGGGGTAACTTGATCCCAGGCTATCCCCACCTGCCATGGGAACAGAAATTTGACAACAGGCTCTACAATCTAGCAGACAAACATCAAACAAGGCAACTGGCAACCGAAATTAAACAGTCATACTGGAAGGCAGAGGATTCACTGGAACTGAGCAGTGGCTCAGGTGGATTCTACCATGCTGGCAGTTTTTAAATGCAGTTTGGAAAGATTTAATCTAGTTTGAAAAGGAATTAATTCAGGGCATCCTGGAGCCTGTTACACAGGACTTAGATTACACATGATCCCAGCACCTTCTGCTCACTTGATTTACAACCCTTACTAGGAGGGAGGCAGGGACAGAATAGAGGGAGTTTTTCTTCCTAAAAAACTTTTGAAAATATGGCTGAAAACATGTCTCAGGTTCTAGTTTAACTGAGAAGCTTGGAAAACACTGTCATAGGAGGTTTTCCCATGAGTTTGGGTTTTGGTGGAAAAAGGTCTGTGCTGGCTGAAATAGTCACATGCCCTGGGCAGGGGCTGGAGTGAAGAGGAGAGGCCCCATATTTTATTCCCTAAAACCCTCCCTAGAGGGGAAAGTGTCCCATTCCCTAAGCTATTGCCTCAAAGCCAGGGCTGCTCTCTCATCTCATGTCTTTCTCCTCCCCACAGGCCTGAGGCCTTCTCCTCTGACACTGCAGAAAGTCAGCCCAGCTCTGAGGCGAGGTGAGTATGAAAGGAGTGGAACTGCTACAAAACAGTCCAGGAATAAAAGACTGGAAATTGGGTTTCTACACTTCAGAAGAGGGAGATTCTTGGGCAGCTTTGCCCAGGGATGAGGATGAAACCCCCCAATCTGCTTACAGAAGGAGCTGGATACAGGTTTCACTGGGATTCTGTGACAGGTTGGCTGTGTTAGCAAGGTGAGGGTTATGGGTCAGAAAGTTCACTGTAGTCTTAGGCTAATACCACCAACCAGTAGATCGTGAGCTACCGGTAGATCTCAGGGGCTCTAAGAGTAGCTCTTGAGCCCTCTCTGAACTGCGCAGTACATTTAATTTCCTCATTTGAGGAGCAGCTACTCACTGAGCAACAACACAGGTGAGTAGCTGCGAGGAATGGTGGGAGCTGGGAGGTCAGGAGGTCTGAACCACCCCAGCCAGCTGACTGTGGCTTTCACAGTTGGAGCTAGGCGCAGCCTCCCTAGGCTGAGCGCAGGGCAGCCGGGCTGGAGGGAAGAAAAGTGGCTGCCTGGCCAGGGTGCTCAGCCAGAGTGCACCACGCTCCACGTGGGCTGGCATAGAGGAGAAGCTGCCTGGCCTGCTGGCTGTGGCGTTCAGCCCAAAGGAGGCTGAACTGCGCTCCAGCTGATTGGGCGGCTTCCCCTCCGCGCCTGCCCACGTGGAGCTTGGTGGCACCATGGCCAGCTGGCCCGGCGGGGTCCAGCTAGACTGCAGGAGTTTTTCAGGATTCTGGAGATATCCCAGAAAAACTCTTCTGCATCCAGGGTTGCATTTGTTCTTCCGCTTTTTTAGTGGAAGAGCGAACAGGCTCTTTTGGTCACCCCTATATTCCTCTTTCCATAAGGAATAAGAAGGTTTTTTTTTCCTGACATTTGGTCCAGTGTAGACAGGCCAAATGTTGAAAAAAACCTCTTCCTACAGAAGGATTTAAAAAAAAAAGCAGCAGTATAAGGATTGGGGATATCAAGTGATGGAGAGGAGGAGAATAGAGAGGGCGGGGCTGTAGATCTTGGCCTGGTCTGTCATTTAAAAAAGTGATCTTTGGTGTAGAAAGGTTGGAGACCACTGCCCTACTCATTGGGCAGCTACCTCCAAGGAGCTAGAAAGGCCTAGAACTGACCACCATCCATTCCTGCAGCAGGGAGGAGCAACAAAGGGCTGTGCACTCCTCGGGGGAAGAGGATTCAGATGACGACAGCGACCTGTTTGTGAACACGAACAGACTGCACTACAGCTGCACAGAGAGCGAGGATGACAGCGAGGAGGAGGCTGTGGTGGCCAGTGACCAAGAGGAGGAAGAAAAATAGCAACCCGTGGTCAGAAATGTGATCTTCTAGCCTCCCTACCCTTGAGGAATCTGAAGCAGCAGGAAGGAACCTGAACTCACATCCACAGGCCTGGTAAATGCTCCAGCTGTCTTGGGACTGCCTCAGTGCTGCCCCCCCCCCCCATTGGGGGCATATTTCTTCTCTCCATCTCTGCTATCTGAGCCAGGGGCTGCTGGAGCAGCCTGCTCACTAGAGGAAAGTGCTGGGCTTGTGGTGCCGAGGGCATGATTATTTCACTGTTAACCCAACCCACTTTGGGGAGAGTGGCACTGATCCTTGGGGCAAAGGGAAATGGGGTTCTAGGCAGCAGTGCTGCTTGAAGCTGTAAACGGGAATGGGGAGGAGTAAAGTTGAGCAGCTGGGAAGCCTCATCAGAGATGGAGTAGCCCAGCTTCACCACTCTATGGCCCCTCTTAAAGGGTGATTGGACTGCCCTCTGCTCTAATGCCAGCTCCTGGGGCAAAGCACTGGGTGCTGTCTGTCCAAGGTACAAATGCTGTGTAATAAGCTGCCTCCCCTCTGCCTTATTCAATAAAGACTTTCCCACAGGCAGCCAGATGGGTTGATTTGAAACTGCACAAGACAAAAACAAGCAGATGTTCCTATGCCAGCTCTGGATGGAGGCGGCCAGCTGGGTCCCAGGGACAGGTTCTGAACTGTAGTGGGTGGCAGGTAGAGCTCACTGCTGCCCTCACTGATGTTACACAGGCCAGCTACCAGCACTTTCCTGGTTCAGGACACTCCTTATGTCCCCTCCCCTCATAGTGCTGATGAGCAGTACAGCACAGTCACCCTGTGCAACAGAACCAAATGTGCTGCAGACAGGTGTCAGGCCTAGGGACGTTAAATTTAGATTAACAAATCAAATAGTTGATGGGATTTCCATCAACTATTCGATTAGTTAATAAGGGCACCTCCACCTTTGAACTGCAAAAGGAAGCCCTGCAGGGCGCATGGGACCAACAGGGCATTGGCTCTGCACTCCCTGTGGCATCTCAGCCGTTGAAATGTACAAGAGCCACCCCCTCCCCAGGGTTCTTGTATATTTCAAAAGCAAAATCACAGCAGTACTGGCAGGAGCATGCTTCAGTCCCCACTCACTCTGTTTCTCCACCTCTCTTGTCTCCCGCAGAGATGGTACTGGGGGGGAAAACAGCTTTTAAGCTGGCTCTCTCCAACACTGGCTCCTGCCTCCATCAGAGAGAGGCAGCCAGGGGCCGGGGAGGGGGAGCGACTAGTCATATTACTAGCTGAGTATCCGATAAGCTTATGCTTATCGGACAGTTGACTAGTTGCTTGCATCCCTAGTCAGGCCTTCTTGGGACCAGGAAGTTGGACAGGGTAATTTTTGGGCGCCTCAGTCATGTGGTGTGGTGCTAGGTACTGTAGAAACAGCAGGAGCCAAGCCCTACTTCCAGGCTTACATAGACCCACACCCTAGGAGTTAACTGCTCCCCATAGACAAGAATAGGGCCCAACTCCCAGACAGGAATTGGTGCTTTTAATGAACGATTTGGTTTCACATCAATACAAAAAACAAGGTTTTGATGCTAAGAATCACAGCTTCTCAACTATATACATAGTCCTAGCCCTGCAGGGACAGGTCAGCCTGCATCCAAGTCATCAAGAGTTGAAGGGAGAGTTTAACATATTGCACCCCAGTGTCTTGCTTAGGGACAACTCCC